ATGAAGAAACCCAGCAAACATCACCTTAACCAAATGATGAAGGTTAGCATTGCCAGTGATCCGTCATATGGCTGTCAGGTACCCCTGATAAGATATGACAAGAAGAGTACTTCACCTCTGTGGGATTCCTTACAAAAACTCATAACTTGTATCTATTCATTATAAAGGCATCAGACAAACCCAAATTGGGGGACACTCTATGAGAAAACTGGCCACTGCTCCTTAATGCTGTCAAGGTCATAAACAAGCAAACAAACAACAACAAAAAAAAACAAAAAAAAAAACAAAGAAAGGCTAAAAAAAACATTTCAGACCAGAGGAGACTGGGGAAACATGATAACTAAATGCAATGGGGTGCTCTGGATTGAATACTTAAACAGAAAGAGGACACTAAGAAAAACTAACGAAACCCAATAGTCTGGAGTTTACTTAATACAAAAGTATCAATGCTGGTTTCTTAGTATTGACAAATGTTCCATAGTAACATAAGATGTTAACAATAGAGGAAACGAACAATAGAGAGCTCTCTGTACTATCTTTGCAACATTTCTACAAATCTAAAATAAAAAGATAATGACCAATCTGAAGAGGAAATTTAGAAAACAATCCCATTTACTATAGAATCAAAAAGGACAAAATACTTAGAAATAGACTTAACCAAGAAGATACAAGACTTGTACACTGAAAACTACAAAACATTGCTAAAAGAAATCAAAGAAGATAAAAATAAATGGAAAGACATCCTGCACTCATCGATTGAAAGACTGAGTATTATTAAAATGTCCATACCACCCAAAGCAATCTACATTCAATTAAATACCTATCAAAATCTTTATAACATTTTTGCAGAAATAGAAAAAAAAATCCTAAAGTTCACACAGAATCTCAAGGTATCCAAATTAGCCAAGACAATCCTGAGAAAGAATAACAAAGTTGGAGGCCTGACACAACCTGATTTCAAAACATACTATGAAGCAACAATAATCAAGATGGTGTGGTACTAACATAAAGACAGATATGGTACATAATTCAGAGCCCAGAAATAAACCCTTGCATATATGGCCAAATGATTTTTGACAAGGGTGCCAAGACTACGCAATGTGGAAAGTATAGTCTCTTCAACAAATGGTACTGGGAAAAGTGTACATCCAACATACGAAAGAATGAAGCTGGACCCTTACCTTACACCACATAGAAAAATTAACTCAAAATGGGTTAAAGATCTAAATGGGAGATGAAACTATAAAACTCCTACAAGAAAGTACTGTTTAGGGTAAAATGTTCAGGACACTGGATTTGGCAATGACTTCCTGGATATGAAACCAAAAGCAGACATCAACAGCAAAAATAGACAAATGGGACTACATCAACCTTAAAAACTTCTGCGTATGAAAAGAAACAATCAACAGAGTAAAAAGGCAACCTATGGAATGGAAGAAAATATTTGAAAATCATATATCTGATTAAGAGTTAATATTCAGAATACATAAGGAACTACTACAACTTAAAAACAACAAAAAATCAAATAACCTTATTTAAAAAATGGCCAAAGGACTTGAATAGGCAATACTTCAAAGAAGATATACAAATGGCCAGAAAAGATGCTCAACATCATGAATCACAAAAAACACAAATCAAAACCACAATCAGATATCACCTCACACCCATTAGGATGACCACTATCAAAAGAACAGAAAATAACAAGTATTGGTGAAGATGCAGAGAAATTAGAACCCTTGTGCACTGTTGGTGAGACTATAAAAAGGTGCAGTCATCATGGAAAACAGTGTAGAGGTTCCTCAAAAATAGGACTACCATATGATCCAGCAATCCCACTTCTACATTTCCAAAATAATTCAAAGCAGGATCTTGAAGAGATATTTGTACACTCATATTCATTACAGCACTATTCACAAAAGCCAAGGGGTGGAAGCAACCTAAACATCCACGGATGGATGAATGGATAAAGAAAATGTGGTATATACATACAGAATATTATGCAGCCTTTAAAAGAAGGACATCCTGTCACATGCTACAACATGATGAACACCGAGGACATTATGCTAAGCAAAATAAGCCAGTAACAGAAATGCAAAAACTGTATGATTCCATTCATATGAAGTATCTAAAGTAGTTAAAGCATAAAAACAGAAAGCAGAAAGGTAGATGTCAAGGGCTTTGGATGAGGGAATTAGTGTTTAATGGGTATAGAGTTTCAGTTTTGCAAGATGAAAAAGTTCTAGAGATCTGCTGCACAACAATGTGAAAATACTTAACACTATTATACATTGTTAGTTTACTTATATTGCATTTGAAATAAAAATAGTCTAATTATAAAAATAAATAAAATAAAAAAGTTTTTTTTTAATGAGAGACTAATGTTGATAAAAGAATTTGAGGACAGGGGACAGGTTCAAGACGGCTGACTAGAGACACCCTGCTCTCGCCTTTGACACAAAGTCCAAAACAAGAAATAGGTAATCACACATTGAACAGAGTGTCTAGGAGAAAACACTGGAATTCAGTAACAGTGAGGAAGATGTCCTGAGGCTCAAAAACTTGGGATGGCAGCATAGAAAGACAAGGGAGGTGCCCGACCAGGATCAGCTCAGAGCCAGGAGAGACTCCTTACTATGGAGAAAACCTAAGTGAAAAAACCCCAAAACTCTACACATTCTCTATGGATACTTGCAATCCTAGCTACAAGAGAGCCACACAGTCCTTGCAGGCTGTAAGCCCAGTATAGGGAGCTGCTTGGAGCCACACAACAGCATTATTCCAGAGGTGGAATTCAGGCTGGGCCCCCCCCCCCCCATCCCCTGGTACCCAAGCTGACACAGTACGTCACCATTTTGGGATTGGAGCCAACACCAGATTGCGTTCTGCCCTGAGGCCCAACAGCCCTGGCATCTCCACATCCCTAAGGCCTCCTCATCACACCATGACTCTAGTATCTAAACCTATGCAGTGCCCTGAACCTCTAGGAACAGGAGGTCCAGCATAGTGGGAAGGCCACACCCAAGACAAAGGGAGCCAATGCTCACACTTTCCAGAGCCTGAGAGCTGACCAATCAGGGCCTCATGCCACCATTGCCAGCCCTGCTGCCTTCAGTGGAGCACCCATGCACCTCTCCCAAGGGCACAGAGTTCCACCCACAGCTCCAGTGACCTCAACCAGAGTCACCCACTCCAGCTGTGGAGCCTGCAGCTCCTCTACTGGGTCACAAGATCCCACCTACAGCCCCAGCAACTTTGGCCAAGCTCACCCATTTTAGCTGAGGAGCCACAGAGCACCCTGGCACTTCTCTTGGGGGTGCAGGGCCCCACCCACAGCCCCAGCAACCTCACCCAGGGTTGTCCACATCAGCTGAAAAGCTGAAGAGCACCCCAGCATGTCTGCTGGGATGCAGGGTCCCACCCACAGCCACAGCAACCCCACTCAGAGTCACCCACTTCATCTTAGGAGGTTCAGAGTGCCTCAGTATCTCTCTTGGGAGTCTCAAAGGTCCTGGGTGCAGCCATAATGATACATCCCAGGGTTGCCCAATCAAGCTTCGGAGCTTCGGAGCACCCCAGAATCTCTCCTGGGGATCCAGGATCCTGGCTGTGGCTCTGGTAAGCCTGCCCACAGTTGCCCACTCCAGCTGAGGACCAGAACACCCCAACACTTCTTCCAATGGCCCAAGATCTCATCCTCAATCCCAGAAACCCTGCCCAGTATCACATATTCCAGCTAAAAAGCCACAGAATGCCCCAGCACCTTCCATGGGAGTTTGAGATCCTGGCCACAGAATCCAGCAACCTCCTGCGAGGATTGACCACTCCAGCTGAGGAACTACAGAGTGCCCCAGTGCTTCTACCATGGGTCCACAATCTGGCCCATTTCCCCAGCAACCCTGCCCACTTTAGCAGAGGAAAGCCAATTGCCATAGCACCTATTCTGGGACCATGAAATCCTGACTGCAACTCCAACAACCCCATCCAGGGTCACCCTCTTCAGCTGAGGAATCATTCAGCACACTAGCACATCTCCCAGGGGCTCAAGATCCCACCTGCAGCCCCAGCAACCCCATCCAGCATTGCCCATTTCAGCAGGGAGCTGTGGAGTACCCCAGCGTCTAGGCCACAAAAGCACTCACAGTCAACTTCAACATTGAATAAAGTTGAAGAAATCACACAGAGACTACACTAGTGTGCTTACCCAGAACCAAACCTAAAACACCCCAACCATCTGACACTACAGAACATATCTACAGGAAAGATTCTTTCCCTTCAAGCACTACTCCAGAAAATCAGAAGTGACTATTCAACCAGATGGTCAGATATCAATGTGGAAAACATGAAAAAACAAGGAAACAGGACATCCTCACCAAAGGAATGATAAATGTTCACAGTGACAAATATACTAATTACCCTGATTTGACCATCACACACTGTATACGTGTACTGAAATATAACTCTGTACCAAATAAATATGTACAATCAATGTGTCAATTAAAAAATAAATTAATTAAAAAAAATAATTTGGGGACAGGAGGAAGTTAGTGTCAGGAATGTGAACTGGACCCAAGATTAGCCAGAGTGGTGTTTGTTCTTTTACATGAAGAACCCCACTAAATTCTAAGGCTCGAAGTACACAGTTCTCTTGCAGTATATATATCATGGAGGGTGAAAGAATGTCCTGGAACCAGGTATAAGGTATCATCCTACTGCAAAGAGAGCAGGGTTCAAAAGCTAGCACCCAACTTACAAGCTAGGGAACACTGGATAAATTATTTTAAACTTTCCAAGGCTCACTTTCCTCATTGGTGCAATGATGATAAAAATTCTTATGTCATTTTCTATACAGTAGACTTAGGGTCTTGGGGAAAAAATTCCTCCAACTAAAAATAAACAGCACAACCCAAGTCAAGAATTTAGACTGCTATACAGGCCAGCTGCCAAAGAAAGAAAAAATACACACACACATGTAAAATAATTAATGGTACCCAGTCACCTACCGCTGATTCACAAAAGGGCTGGAAAGCTCTGCAAGCAGGCGAAAATTTCCAATGTACGCCAGCACTCCTTCTTTCTGGATGATAAACACAAAACACAATGTCAGGGATAACATTCTTATCAAAATTTCCAAATACTGAAGAAATATTCAAAAGTTTCTCAGCATAATATAACAATCAACATCAAAACAAACCAAGAAGTTTTCTATCTTTTACTGCTTAACTGATTTTCTTTATGAAAATTTAAAAATATCCTTAGAATTCTATAGTATTTTTAAAAGATAGTATACTGTACACTTATGTTCACTTATGTACATAATCACTCATGAAAACAGGTTTTAAGCAATTGTTTCACACTGAACTAATGAACTCTGAAAATAACCGTTAGTAACAGTTACTCTCAAATTACTATAGAAAGAATGACCATAAAGTAGTGTGAGTTTCAGAAGCTGAGGAATTTTATAACAATCAAAATCTAACAGAAACTCTTCTTTATATCTATTATTAAGTAGAAGCACCTTAAAAATGTCAAAAGTATACTTATCCGAAATAACAATATATAAGTCTGTGAGCAGATGCATATTTGCTGAATTTAACAACACACGCCAAATCTTGTTCTTCATATTTGACCAGAAAAATGTTTGTCAGTCAGAAGATACTACAGCTAAAACACACACCTTTGTGAACTTTCTAAATTTAAACAAGACCTAGCACATTCCACCAATTAAAAAATGTGAAAGGTACAGCAGAGTTAAACATCAGAGAGAAAATCAGAAGTATGCATTTCAAGAATTTTATTCAATATACTTTAAAAATTGCACCAGGTAAATGAAGTCACTCCAGCACTTCCAATTAAATCAGAATTGTAATAACACGCCAAAAGAAATAGTCCTACCCACCCCAATACATGAGATATACACAGAACTCTGGAAACTGCTTTTCTACTGGTTAGACCACACTGCCATCCAAAAAGGAACAATATGCAGCATTAAAAAAAAAAAAAGATAAACATTTGATTAGGAGATTTGGGGTACTTATCAATGAGAATTATCTTAGGAATTTAAAATTTAGAGCTGGATTACAAGAATTAGGTTTTCAAGACTAATCTATTTACTTTTCTGCTGCAATAGTGCTTTTATTTAAACAAAACAACAATAGGACTAATTAACAGTGGGAATTAGCAGTAATTAATAGTAGGACTAATTAAAAAAAACTTGTGAAAAAATATTTTTATGTTTTCTTCTGCCTCTTTAAGGATATTTAAATGTATTAGGCTATATTATTGTATGTTTTTAAGATAATAAACATAATACTTATTAAAAGGAGAATGTAAATACAATAGGACTAATTAAAGTTATTACCTAGATCAAATAGAAAATAATGAAATGTTTCCTTCTGTCCCATGATACAGTGGAATATTTTTACTCTTTCTGTTTCCTTTTCTAATAATACTTCTCTGAACTGCCTGCAGCCTTTAGGACAGTTTCATAGAGGTCTTAGAAAATACACAGTATTTATTGCTGTAGATTAAACTAACACTGTCTCAATAGAAATCACAACAGTTAACCCAATGGGCAAAATCAAAGATGGACTGTTATTGCTCATGATTGCAAAACACTTGAGTTGCATCATTCATTGTTGGGAACTGCAAATCATGGTTGCCTCGATTTTTTTGCATCATGGGAATAAATTTCCAGGGATGCAGGGTTTTCAGTGGTGAAGTGGTAAAACCAGGACAGTCTTGGGCAGGCCACTCCCATCTTTGTTTTATTTTAAGTTCATTTTAATACATAATAGAAATCACATTTGCAGCTAGGAAACAAAGGGATGAGAAAAGAACAAATGTCTGACCTCTCTAATTCATCCAGCATAAAGAAATATTTTAAAGGTAATAGGAAACAAATTGCCAGTCACAATTCAAGTTCCTGAATATTTTGTATCCTTTAAAAAAAAAAAGTTTTGGTGACTTATCCAAAGTTTAGGTGAGTTTTTCCAAAAGAATTGGTTGGAATATTTGAATTAAGAATAGGTTAGAGGACCAAGTAATTGTGTTTAGCTGTAGATCCTCCATGTTAAATAAGAAAGCTGAAATGTTCTGCTTTTCTCTTCCTCCATAGTTAAGCTCTGCAGTGAATTAGAGCAAAGGAGAACTTCTATGAAAATGTATACAACTAGAACATGACTCTTGGGGGTGTAAAAAAAGTTATTTTCGTGAGATTTTATTTGAATCAGACAAAATCTTAGAAATATTTTTATTAATATAATCCCTTCCTATAATTAATTCGTGTATGTAATAAACATTCACTCTTCTTTTTTAAGGATAAATTTTCTCATTCATAACATTGCCTTTTGCCCCTTAATTAAAGATGGCTCTTTCTCCAATCTATTTTTCCTAACAATTTTCATCTTCTTTTGGTTGTTTTAAGTCTATGGCATTCTACGTAACTATGTCCAGTGTTTAGAGAATATGACAGACCAGACTTCTGCAAAATATTATGAGTTAATGTCTTCCTGAGGTCAGCCAAAATCCCTGCTAAATTATTTACTGTATCCTTCAAATAAATAGTTTTTCCAAAAATGTGGTCCAATTCCAAAATTTGTTTCATTTTTATGACTTCTAAAATATTTTAAAGTACACACCCCAAAGTCATGTAAAGTATTTAAAAAATACAGTAGCAATAGCCTGAGTCTTAAACTTTCAAAAACAATTCTAAAAATTTCATTCTAGTTAATATTACTTTAAAAATACAAAAAAATAAATTCATGAAATATACTATGTGTAAGACATGTTTTGAGAGTTTAAAAGATTATTTGTTCCAACTCCTTTCATACCGGTATAGAATTAAAGTAACTATTAATACCTAGGTCATGAGTTTGGATGCCCATACCAGTCAGCCACACACACACACACACACACACACAAAAAGTAATTATTAAGCAAAATACAAAATTAAACTCAAATAAAACCTGACTTTATGATATTCTTTAAATGTTAAAAAAAGTTACTAGTAAACACAGGACATTTGATATGCTGTTTTCATTTAAACAACTTTGGATAAAGTGCAAATTCTCCACACCTTGAGGAAACTTTCTTTAGAATTTGTAAAAAATCAGTCATAACATCCTAGCCCTTCTCTTAATTTCTCTCCTCTTCCCAAAGAGAATGGTTAGTTTTCTGATTTCTAGCACAGCAGTTCTCTATGTGTGGTTTCCAGACCAGCAACATCAGAATTACCTGGTGTGAAGGATACTGACTAAGAAGATATTAATGAGATAGAAATAAAACACGTGTAGTTTAGAAGACCAAAGTCCTTAGCATAGAAGGCCAAAGCCTGTAGTTTAGAGGACAAAAGTGCTTAGTTTAGGGGCCAAAGCCCAACCCTTTAGGAAAACATGTAGGCATGCTAAGATTAAGAAAGACCAGAAAACTTTCACAGGACTAAAGCCTTTGATGTAGGTAAGAGAATTGAAACAGTGAAAAATGGGTGCTCTGGGGGCAGATGCCCTTAGTTCAGCTAAACCTAAATGATGGGAAAGAATGTGAGGTAAAATCTTCAAGGATATTCTGCTAGTTAGTGTTTGGGAGACGTTCCTCATCTCACCCTAAGCTGTTTCTTTGAGTTTCTTAGGGAGTTAGGCGCTTTGGTGGTTATCTCATTGTTTCTTTTGGGACATCACATAGCTTAGTTTTATGACTCCTTTTAATGGTAAATTGTTTGAACTATTTTAAGTTACACATGCTTTAATGAAGATTGTTACATAGCCAGTTTGTTTATGTTTTCACTGTGATTGATTAACCATCTGTTTTTCTTCTGTAACTTTCTTGTCTTTACAATAAAAACTGAGGCAAAAACTGACTTGGGGCTGTGCCTGGGCTCTCCTCTCTTGAAGGAGTTTTCCCTTGGTGCAGTCCCTTTGGGCTTCTCATTGCTCTGAATGGGCTCAAGTAATCTTTTGCATCTCCATCACTCTGTGAGAGGTGACAACCTGGGAACTTGCTAGGTATGCATATTCTAGGGCCCCATGCTGGACACAGTGAATAGGAAACCCTGGGGATGGGACCAGCAATCTGTGTTTTAACAGGCTCTCCAGATGATTGTAATGTATATTAAAGTGAGAGAACTGTTGTCCTAGCCTAGAGATAACTAAAGATCTTTAAGCCCTTAGGAGCTAACTCGCTACTTTTCTGAAACTGTGGTTAGTGAAGGTTTACAAAGACTTCCACCAGATCCCAGAGCTTTATCAAGGTGGGACCTGCTACATTCCACCTTGAATGTAAGCTGAGCCAAGTGTCTACACAGAGCTCTCCACCTGTCTGTCAGAGCCCCTTATAAGTATCCATATTCCCTGTGCCTCACTCACTATTGAATCCATTAAGCCTACCCCAGTACCTGGCCCATGTTTCCTGGCTTGGACCTTGACTGCTCAACAGCATTAAACAAGCACATCGCCTCTAAAGTCAAAATCTTAAGAGTCCTTCAGGCTTATTTCTGAGTGGGCAAAAGGACTAAAAGAGCATTCCATTCTAAAAGGGCATTCCATTCCAAAAGAGAAGGAAAATATATAGATTTCAATTTTGTAAAGAAATCAGAACAGAATTAAAGATCATTAAATTTGTTATGAGAAAAAAATGTCTGAAGTTTAATCTCCAAACTTTGTTACAATTTAGATTAGTCAAGCAAGGCAGGTAAAAGAGAATGTACTTACTAGAATTACTTACTGGCAAGTAAAAGAGGTAGGGAAATTTGAGGGCTATGTACCAGCTACGTATCAGAAGAAAAACATCTAGAAGCAGGTGATTAGTGAGCACACTAGCAAACTAAGGAGTAATCGGATGTAGTCTAAAAGAAAGATAAACCAGGGTTATAGCTCTGTCCTTACTAGCTGTGTGACTTTGTGGCTATTATTGAATTTCTCTGACCCTCTTCCAAGAACTCTATAAAATAGGGTTAATACTTTTAATGGGACTGTTTGTTAGGACTGTATGGCTGCCATTACCACCATCACCATCATCATCCTTTATAAAACAAAGGAATGAGAGTTAAAATTAACTGGTAGATAAAAGTGTTTAAGAATGCCTTTTGATACCACCACTATATTCTATTGCTGATAGTAGAATTTCCATAAATATTTATTGGCTAACTGACTATTATAAATCTTTCAAAAACTTAATCTATTTGTGTCATTCATTATGATAATTAAGCAATTAAGTTTAGGAGGAGGGATAGTTAATGATCAAAGGCTGGTGGTATGGAGGCGAGGATTTGAATCCTAGATATTTTGGCAACCTTGGGCAAAGCTGACCTGAATTTTAGTTTCTCCATTTGTTAAATGGGCATAATACCATATTTATAGGAGGATTGATGTGAGAATAAAATAAGAAGTATACTGAGAGCAATGAGGAAAAATACTGAAACAGAAAAGGCACTCAAAAAAAGAAAAAAAATTTTTTAGTTAAAAGTGAAATTAAACCAGGCAATTTTTCTTAACATAAAGAAGATAAAATAAGTTGAAAGACAAGATCTAAAAGAACCTCTTCCTTTCTGCTTAGATAAAATCCTTCATCTCTAGTTACTGATACAGGGGTAACTACACAGGCCTAAGGGTCAGGCCTGAATGATCATGGAGAATGAATGATAAGACTGATCAGCATCACAATTAGGAAGGATTGAAAGGTAGGTTCATTACTGCTATTTTTACTATAAAAGATACATTATGTGAACAAATCACCCCTCAAAAAGTAATATTACTCTCTAATTGTTACAGGAAAACATCCACGTTGAAAAGGAAAATGAATACTTCTAAGGGTAAACTGTTTTATTGATCCAATGCATTGAAATGGACTCTGAAAATTACTGAGTTCTATTACCCACAGATATTTTAGACAAGTCTCCAAAAGCTCTTCCAATTTGCCCCTTAGTCTATGCCTGAACAGCTCCATGGAGAGCAGTATAAGTCTTGGGATTGCTATTCGAAAGTTCCAGAACTATACCACACTCTCTCTAACTTCCACCTGCCTGTCCTACTTCTGATCCTGGCAATCCAAAAAAGACAAATCTCTTTTTCATATGATGATAACTTTTCTAATATTTAAAGACAGGACATGTCTGTCTTCTTTCCAGGTACCATTTCCACATTTCTCAGGTAAAGACCCTTCTGGCTAATGCCTTTCAAAGTTCCTGAGCCCTATTAACTGCCAGTATTCACAAAACAAAAACAAAAACAAAACAAACAACAAAAACCAATCACCCACTTGGTGAAAGAACCATTTACAAATGATAATCTCTTCACATTAAGTGGTTAAATCACATACAGATACACCTTTCTGAGGGTGCCAAGCCACCTTTCTGAAGAGAATTTTAGCAGAATATATCAATATCCGTAAAATGTACATACAATTTGCCCAGGAATTCCACTTCTACAAAATTATTCTTTGAAAATAATTATTCATGTGCACAAATAGGAAGATATAAGGATGTTCACTCAAAGTTACATAAAATAATGAAATATACACACACAACAATGGGTAATTTGATAAACATTATTATACATCCATGTGCCACCAATAGAGATAATGATAAAGCCAGTTAGTCTGAGAATAAAAACATTTTCAGTACTTGCAAAAAGACTAAGAGTTTACCTCCTTCACACCCTTTTTTAGAATATTATTTGAGGATATGCTGTGATAAAATAAGTGAGTAAACCGACAAAGTTAAGGACATTGCATCCAGGAAACAGCGAATCCAACCCAGGAGAAGACAGACAGGGAGCCCCAGGACATTGGGCAGCAGACCCAGAGAGCAATCTCTTCAGATTGCAGCAGGAGAATGGCAAGCTCTAAAGGCAAGAATCTGGGAAAAGATGGTTGCAGAGATGTGATATCATCCTTGAGAATAGGAAATAACTCAGATATGTGGTAAAGGCAAATAATGCAATAAAAAAAGGAACGCAATTAGAAACTCCAAGAAAAAATTAGACAGGCAAATGTAATCCTGGTCCTGCAGTGAACAATTTTAGTATAATCATAATAAACACTTTATTGACTTTCTATATGCAGGATCAACTGGATATAAAGAAACTTAATATGACTACAGAACAGAGGTAAATATTTTTATATCTCGTCAATTCAAAAGCACAAGTACAAATGACAGTAACTGCAAAGCAAACTGGGTGTTACAGAAGTAGAAGAAAGGACAGGAGCACTAACACCTTCACTTTAAAATTTATGCTATAGAAAAGATGCTATGGAACCAGAAATAAAAGTATTTGTAGTTTTAAAAGGAAATGAGAGACAACTAGCATTACTTTAACTACATTGTGTGGAAAAGAGAAGGCAAACAGAGGTATGAGAGTTAAATTCTATCCATCACAGCAAGAAGACATGGTTCTTGTTATTTAACATGGTTATCTAACACTGACAGATTAAGAAGTGTACAGTCTCCGAAAATGGCCACCATCAACGCCTTCCCTCCCTGTATGTGCATAGTGTTCCTCATATTGAGAGGTGAAGCCTTATTTCCCTCCCCTTGAACCTGGCCTGCTCTTAGCAACTCACTTGACCAATAAAATGCAATGGAATTAACGTTCTGAGTCATCAGAAGCTAGGTCATAAGAAGCCTTGCAGTTTTTTCTGGGTCTCTTGGAACAATCATCCTTGAAATGCTCACATTCAGAATACAGTTGCCAGGCTGTGAGAAACCCTAGAGACATGATGGGGCCACATACAGATATTCTAATTGACAACTCCCACTGAGCTCCCAGCAAAGAACCAGCAGCAACTGCCAGCCACATGAACAAGTCCAGTAGATATCCACCCCACTTGAGTCCTTAGATGACTCCAGTCCCAACTGCCATCTAACAGCACCCACTTGAGACCTCAAGCAAGAACTGCCCTGCCTTCTTATTTTAATATCATTAAGAACACACAAGTCAGTGAGTTTCAACCAACCACAATCATTACTCTAATTAATGATCAAAATGTCACAATTATAACCAAAAGGAGAGCCTTCATGTTGGATCCTGTGTCCTTTTGACACAACCCCATTACTTTTTTAATAGGTTCCTTTCTTTCTGACACAAGATCACCAGGGTTGCTTTGTTGTATACAATGATTCAATATGTAAAACAAAATTTTAAGTTTAATGCTTCAGTAGTCTTGCTTCTATATTTTCTGATCCTGTACATCAATATGTCAATGACTTTTCAAGCATTTAATCCAATACACCCATGGCAGATAGCATCGTGTATGACACATACTTCCATGGGCATAGACATAAGTTTCATGTTATGTGTAATTCCCTGTTACTTACATCTATCTATTATTTACAAATATCTATCTTGAGCTTGTTGGTATCTTTACATTGAAAATATAATTGGTTGTAAGAAACCTAACAAACATGCAAGGGATATAAAGTTGCTAGTTTCAAATGTATGTGCAGAAAAATAATTTTAGATAATGGAATTTAATATACTTTACTGCCTGAGATTTGTTGCAAGAATCCTCTATTAACCTCAGTATTGGAATTCTGATGAAGTCTCTTAGCAAGATTCCCCTAGTGTTCCAGCCTACTTAAATGTAATTATGCATGTACATGTAATTGTACATGGAATTAAAGAAAATAAATATTTTAGTTAGTTATACAAGAATCTATACATACCTCTGGCTATTAAATCATAAATTCAACTAAATAGACAAATATTCTAAAGTTTTTAAGTGAAAATCCAAGGACTTATGGTCATCTGCCTGTCTCAAAGTTTATGAATACAAATAGACACACTAATACAGACACACATGTAAAGTTATTATCTTAGTTAATAAACAAGATATCATAACAACAATCCCTGGATACATTCGGAGATGATCTTTATAATTTGAGAATTGTATGTCTAGATTTATGTTCACCTTTCAGTCACTATTCCTAATCTTGTTTGCTTGTTATCTTACTGTAAATCCTGGCACTCACCAGTATAAGGTAGTAGGCATACAGTGACACACAATGGTGAATTATATAAAATTTGTCACCGATCATTTTCCAATACAAAATGAGAATCAACAAATCTGTAAGAAGAAAAAAAGATATTACATAGGAAGAAAGCTGCATTGTTTTGCAAATGTATTTAACTTTCACCCAATAATTTGTCACTCTCCACTCTGAGCCCTTTGTCCACTTAGAGCACTTTGTTCATACCTCAGCTAGTCCAATTACTCACGTTATCATAAAGCATCTGCTCCTGCATACCTGTATCATTCATTCTACTGTGGCTCCTCCAAAATAAGGTAGAAAAGGTACAAAATGACTAACTCATTTATAACACAAACTCAACAAAAAATATTTTAAAAAATCAGAGGATGTAATTAAATATTAATTCAAAAAAGTAAAACCATCAAGAACTATGACTATTAAAAAGACAAAGAGAGAGATCAAGACATCAAGTTTTCTTTAAAGAGTCATGAATAGAAAGATCATGATTTAGAAAATAGTTTAATTTAGCAAATTAGAAATTGCTCAAAATGTTAACACAACTATTTTCTTTACTAATTGGTAAACATGAAATGAAAACATGGAAACAAATGGCTATCATAAATGGAGACCAGGGGATGATTCAGGCTTTAGGGGGTTACAGCTTATATAATGTGGGAACCTTCTTTTATAAAAACAAAAATTTCTAATACAAAACTAGATACAAATATTTAGAAAGAGAAAATTAATAATCAAATTAAAGGTTTTAAAGAGAAAACAAATACTACAAATCAGAAAATCAAGAAATACAACATTATTAGTAATTACCTGTCTGATAAACCGCCCTAAATATATTTATTTTCCTTACATATTTTGGCTGTATGCTCTTTGGTCACCTACTTATATGACAATGATTTTGCAATATGTTTTATAAAGAGAATAAAATAGAATTCACTTTGCATACAGCTTGGTTTAGAAAAGTTTGTTTCCACTTACAACTCTTGTTTGTAAGTTTTTTTGGATTATTATCTTATTTGGGAAAACCTTGATCAAGTTTCTTTCATACAAGACTTCCTGAGGAAAGACTATACTCTGAATTGACATTTATTAACTTATTGTGTTATCCTTGTCAATGACATCATTTTGTGTCAAATAAACAAATCTTTTTCTAATGTGTTCACATGGTTCACTCTTCTTTTAATTGGGCTATCAGATATTCCAACAGCCTTTTCATTATTTCTATTCAAAATTTTCTCTCTTCCTCTAATTGAATGACTATGTTTTGGTATATATTTTTTTGTTATAATTCACTTCTTGATGGCAGAAAATTTTCTATTGAGTTCATCACTTATGTTTGTCACTTTTGTTTCATATTTCATTGATTTTATTTGGATTTTCTTTCAGTTATTTAGTAAGTTTAAAAATTACATAATAGAGTTTTCTATATAAAAGTTCAAATCAAAAATCTGTTCTTTCTTTCCTGTTTTATTAAGATGATCCAAAATGTCTTTTCAAGGGAGAGGGAGTAGGAGAGAGATTGAATAAGGGACATAAAGAGTAAGTATGATTTATAACAATGAATGTGCTAATAAAAAATAAATTTTTTAAAAAATGTCTTTTCAAATTGTAACAGGACATAGCCTCAACTTAACTTCCTCTTTGCCTCAGAGTAAAAAAGGCTACTCCAACTCCATCCAACATCAGGGAAAATATGACAGACAGGAATGTGGAGTAGAAAGAGTCCACAACCTTAACAGGTTAAAGCTAAAATAGCTTACTTTTGCAAATTTTACCAAAACAATACAAAACCATGACTGTTGGAACATATGTCAAGGGCCCTTACAAGTGGAGAACCCTGAGGCTTAACCTACATTAGTTTCACAGTAATTATACCTGAGAGACTCTTTAGGTCAGAGAGGGACCATAGCTAATAAAAAATGTCCAGGCCTCAGTTGTTTGCAGCCCCACTCTGCAACTCTGATCTTCAGAGAGAATCAGAAAGCCAATAACAACAACAAAAAAAAAGTTTCATGCTCTACCATCATCGCAGGTATTTCTTCTTCTGTATGGGTCCTAAAAGATACTTTTCAAATGAATAAACCAAAAGCATATACTACGTATTCTTTGTATAATTTCATATTCTTTGGATAATTTTAAAAGAAATAGACAATGAACAACATATCACATACCAGAAATGAGGTAGCCTGAAGTAATAGCAATATTCATTTTCACAAGTGATGGATCACCCCTATAAATATTAAAAAAAAAAAAAGTTTCATTTTTTTTTTTTTTTAGCTCATGGGTTATAGGTGACAGCTACTTTTTTTCTACTGAGATATAAATATAATGAAAATGCTTTTTATAGATTCTCAAATGGTAAACTGACATTTCAAATAGAAATTGTAAAATGCAATAACTGTTTAGCAGAACTGTGATATATCCTGTGATACTGGTGCTAGCAGACATGCTGTTTCCAGGATAACCTGAACCCACAGCCACTAAGGAAATCTGGTAGCCTTCCTGTCCAAGATGAATTGTTTTAATTAAGAGATCTATGTAGTTCACACCCGCCATGAGGTTTACTCTAGGCCCAAGCCAGTCTCCAAAATTTCCTTGAGAATAAACCAACTCTTGGAATTCACACTCGGCTCATATCGCTAAAGCACCTAATGCTAATTCATTTTGAGGTCCCCAATAACAGGAACAGACCTCCTGAGGGTAGCTAAGAGAACCCAGTGCATTTTCTGAACCTAATTTTGTGGAACTATTCCCAAAATCTCCAAATCCAGGGGCATGGCATAAGGTTTGTTTTTTTTTTAATTGGAAAGGCATCATCCATTCTACCAGTGGCAATTACAATGGACTTGGAGGATTCCTAAGGGCCCACTACAGTTCACACTCCAAAGTACTAAGTCCCCTAAGGAGTGTCTCACTAGTAATTCTGGATCCTATTCTAAACCTATCAATGCACAACGTATTGTGTTAGCTATGATAGTACTTCTAACTGCATGACTAATCATAGTTTCTTATATATATTAGCTAAAAATTCTAATAAAGTAATTTTTCCAAAAGATAACAAGATTTTTACAAATGCGGTTTCATATGATTTGTGTGCAAAAGGACTCAAATGGAATTCCAGATGCTGATTTTTTTTCCGATTCCTTATTCTGAATCAGAGGCTCAAATACCTCAAGAAATCATCTAGCCCACTTCTAATTTTGAGGCAATATAGTACAAGTATTATTATCATCATTCTACTGAGGACTATAGGGATTTGCCTATTATCACACAATTAGGAAATGATCAGGACAGTTTAAATCTGCTGTTTTGACCCTTACACATTTCAAGATGCTACTCTTTTGACCTATTAATGCTCTTCCAAAAAACAAATGCAAATTATCAGTCGTTTATCTGATTTATAATACGAAGTACTCCTGAAATTAATGCAAAATAAAACTGACAACAGCTAAACTACAAATGGAAAGACTTAGCAGAAGTCATTCCTCTTTACAAATTTTGATCTGCAAATATGACCCAGAAAAATAGGACTTGGAATAAATCATGACATAAAAGAAAATGCAAAAATATCAAAAATTATATTAGATTAAAGTTTGATAAGGCAAAGGCAAAAACTGACCAATGAATCAAATCTCCACTATAAAATTTACTTAGCAAAAGAACTGACTCTGCTGACAATCATGTATGTAAAATAAAAATAAAAATTTCTCTAAAAGATAGAAATTGTTTAGACTATACAAAAATCTGGTCAAGAAATTAAGTTTGCTAAATTGATTCACTTTGAAAATATCTTCCCAATAAAAATTTATCAACATTGGTATAATTTCATTTTTATGAATAAAAAACAGCATACTTGCAATCAAATAGTAGTGGCCAAAAGACCTGGTTAAATTGCCCTACATTCCCCAGAGCCCACAACTACCACATCCCAATGCAATGCTTTCTCAAAACACACCTCCTCTCTCAAACTAAACAGAACTTGGCCTTCTCAGATAATGCCAGGAAATGCTGTTTGCAAAACTTCTGCCACTGAAATCATATTTAAATTTTTCAAAAAGAACCATCTTACAAATTATCTTATTACCAAACATAGTTATTATTAGTGCTTCAAATCTTTTCATGTGGTATTAAATTCCTCTCACATGTCCATCTATAATTCTCACTTCATTTCTTTGACATTAAATGACAGATCAAATATTAATTTGAATACAAAGTGTTAAGTAGACATTATCCAAGTTGACTATCTGATCACAATAATGACTCGTTTTTGCTCAGAACTGTGCTAACAATAATTTGGTTTTACTAACAGCATAATGTTTAATAGTATAAATGTTTACATCATCATCATATTCTCCTTGTTTCAGATAACAATTATGATACTAAGGTAAACTGACCCTTATCTGTATTCAAATCTAAAATAAATAATTTTAATGCATTTTGTTGAAATAAGTCTGAACACAAGCATTTTAATAAAGTATATACCATCAATAAGCTTTCTGTTTTAAAGTAAGAAAGGTTCTTATTAATAATTAATATCAAAACACAAATCAAATTGACTATCATAGAAAGAAACAGCTTACCAAAGTGGATCAATTATAGTAGCCTCATCAAAAAAGAAAAGGTACAGGCCAAAACCCACAACCACCAGGGAATGGCATGTAGATGCTACCCTGAAATAAAACAAGATACACACAAAGATTTTAGACTCTGCAATAAATTTTAACTCATCCTGGTAAGCTACTTAATATTCTGAACAAGTTAGAACTCGAAATATTTAAATATAGGAGTAGAGTACATCCAAAAGTATAATATAAAACTGCCATTTAAAAATCCAAGGTCCACAACTTTACTTTGGAACGAATGACAAGTAGAATGCTAAAATCTACAATTTCTTGCTCAAAAACTGGTGAATCACTTCTTGGTTAAAAGTTCTAAAGCAGAAGCATACATCATGATGCAGCTGACAAGTATCCTGCAGACAGATGGCAACTGCTAAGGCCACTACCCTGTATCCTGCTCCCAGCTCCATACCCAACAGCATTACTGCAGGCTGAGTTTCCTGCTCCAATCAGCTGGGAATGATTTCCAAATCTACTGGCCTTAACCAACTCTACATTCTTAAAAAAATTCAAATAAATCATGATAGAAAGATTTATTATCTTGGAAATTTGTTTCAAATGTACATTTACATGCATTATTGCACTTGATTCTTGTAACAAGTCTGTGAGAAAGCAAGGGCAGCTATTAAACGTCTTTATTATTATCAAAGCACTTCTAAACAGAAAAATTGATAAATGTATACAGAAAATCCATTTTAAAAAACCCAAGTTTGCCTTTTATGTTAAAGATTATTTTAACAATATATAAAATCAAAGAAAAAAGGGATCAAGTTTTAGTCCCTCGATGATCAAATATTAAAGAGAATGTTATGCAAACACCCAAGCAAAGTTTCTTTTCCTTGCTTCAAAATCTCAGCATGAATTTTGTCCTGTTCCAGGGGCTTACCCGTTTTGTTTTTTTTTTACCATGGTTATTCTCTGAGAGTCTAAACAAAGTTTGTATTGTTCTCTGGGAGCATTTCTTATTTGCATTAAACCATGAGTTATGATAAAAAAGAAAAAAGAAAAAGAAAAGAAACACCCAAGTGAAAGCAAGATGTTCAGAAGACCCAGATCAAGTATTCTTTTAAAGAAGAAAATAAGGTTTAGAAGAAATTGGTTTCTATGAACATATCTTGCTAATAATTTAAGACTCAACCAATACCCAAACACAATGATATGCTACTTAAAGAACTTTATACAGGACACTGTGTATTTATCCATACAATAAAGTTTTTTACCCAACAGTTTCAGATTTCTTACACCTTTGTTGAGAATTTTACACGTAATGAGTTTTTCTCTTCACTAGAATAAAAGTTAAACGGAATAGTAAAGTTTTCTCTCTTGAAATTACTGGTATGCAATGAGTTTCTCTCTAAAACATGACCCCAAGTCTTTAAAAATAAGTGAAATATATCAACCAATATTGAGCTTAATATTAAAAAAATTTCATTGTAACTTGAAAAATCAATTAACTTGATCCAATAGATGATGTGTCCCTAAATAGATACATCATGCTAAATCAAGTCATATTTCAAATGTTCAAGAGCCTCACTAATTTAAAAGCACTGACAAAGAATCCTTTGTAATTACAAAGGATCATTTTAAAGTGAATAATTAACACAATTTATCTGGTTTACGGGTCTGGAATTTTCATTCCAAGCACATCTGTATTCTACTTGAGCATAGCAGGATAAAAATAAAAATTCCTTGATATCAAGTAAAACACTCCATCTAAATAATCATACAGCCAGCTATCTCAAACAGACAAGGAGAGTTAAATTTTGGAGAAGTAGATTTAAAAATTAGTTGTATTTCAATACAACAGGACTTTCATTGCCATAGGTAAGCAACTGGATATAAATAAGAATATTTTTTTAAATTATAAGATATAAGTAACACCTGTAAGTGCATGTATTTTCAAAAAAAGCAATTAAGTACAACAATTTCTCACTTAGAATTAAGCTGTTATCTCTCAAGTAAGCATTTTCAAGTAATTTTTTTTCTTCCTGTCCTTTTTCTGCTGGATAGGTTAGACCACCCATTGTTCAGAGATTCCTGATTACTAGGAAGAATTATGTGTGCTGTATTGATCCATAAGTTTCAAGACTGGAGGCTGAATTTTAAGAAGTATATATGCCCTTTGCTAAAAAAAAAAAAAAAAAAAAAAAAAAAAAAAAAAAAAATAGCCTTTTTTTCCCTTCTTTGCACTCTCTACCTCACAGCTTAAGTCCCATGTAAACCAAGCAGGAGTGGGAAGCAGGAATAAATTTAAGAGAAAGAAAGAGAAGTCACTATTAGAATAGATAAATGAATTTTATGTAATCCCAGGTTCCTTCTTCAAGTAGGAAATCATTTTCCCAATGGTTAATTTCCCACATCATAGAATGACAGTGATAAGACTGAATAACACAAAATATTTTTCAATTTCATCACTTCATTTTCATCTGTACCCTCCTATTTCTTTGGCTTGCATCTACCCAAGATTCAAATGCCTTCACCTATCCTAACCATGGTGAAAAGGAAGTGAAAATTGATCAAAATCTAATCAGAGTATGTACGTTCCCACCTTTTCTTTCCCACCATTCCATTTGTCTTCATATGTTAGAACGAGTTTTTTAAAATCACCATATCTTGCAGGGCCGGCCCATGGCTCACTTGGGAGAGTGTGGTGCTGATAACACCAAGGCCAAGGGTTTGGATCCCTATATAGGGATGGCTGGTTTGCTCACTTGGAAGAGCGTGGTGCTGACAACACCAAGTTAAGGGTTAAGATCCCCTTACCAGTCATCTTTAAAAAAATAAATAAATAATAAAATCACCATATCTCTAGTACAATGCATTTGAATAATATTTTTGTGCTAATCTTAAGACGAGTCATACCTGTTATTTTTCAAAAGTATGTGGAAAAATAATTCTCTCTTTCTGTATGAAAATAACTGTAGCATGTATGAACCTGTCAGTGTAAAGTGAAAAAGAAAACAACTAAAGTCTTATTAAATTCACAGTCTGAGTTATAAAAGTGGATGCTGGCAAAACAATTTGGCTCAGAGAAGAATGCAAAACAGTACACTTCCACAGTCAGCTGAAGTCAATTTAATCTTCACACAATTGCCCATAAAGTTAAATAAAATTTTGCTAACATCTTTCCATATAAAAAATCTTAAAATTTTCTTATACTAGTATGAGATCTATTCACTTATCTTTCCTTTTATTCCTAAGGTCAAAGAAAAAAAATTGGCCTTAGATTTTGTTAGGTTCTAAATGAAAGACGTTTAAAAAATATTTTAAATAATTTTATTTCATAAAACTAGTTTCTTTTTTGTTTGTTTTTGTTTTTATATTTAGCCTATTACATTTCCATATGCTTTACCTTGAGTTCCATTCAATCTTCTTTTTGAAGCTGAGACTATTAAAACCTGGAGAAATTTTTGCTGAAAGCCAGTAACTTACAAAGTGGAAAAGAAGCTGAAAGGTGAAAAAGCTGGTACAAATAATGCTGATGACTAGTTTCGTGTTGGTATCCATATTTCTTCAACCTGGTAAGAGAAATAATGACTATAAATTGCTATCTCATGACAAACCTAGGTATTTATTTTTAATTTTAAGGAGTATATACTTGTATTTTTTAATAATTTTAAAAATTTATCACAAATGTAAGAATACAATAGAGAAATAATGACTATAAATTGCTATCTCATGACAAACCTAGGTATTTATTTTTAATTTTAAAGAGTATATACTTGTATTTTTTAATAATTTTAAAAATTTATCACAAATGTAAGAATACAATGAAACTATAAGAATTTCAAACTTTTTGTGTGTTTCTTCACCTTTTTAACATCTATGAGGGTACTGCAAAAAGTTCATGAAAAAATGGAAATGAAAAATGATACAAGTCTTTCTATGAACTTTGTGAAGAACCCTCGTATTGGTCATGAATTTTATATTAGCATTTAAAATAAAAGAAAAAAACATCTTAAATATCTCTACATTATAAATTTAAGAAGACATTTTAAAATTTTGACATTCAAAATTATCTAAGTCTACAGGGATCTGTACTGGCCAGCTGCCCACTGTCCCCATCCCTCCAATTATCTGAGTCTTAGAATTTAACATTAAGAGGGAATTTCAAGTACTATAACAAAAGTATTCTTTTAATAATATTACTGTTAATTCAATTTAAGATAAATCATCTGATTTCTGTTTGCTTTAATTTCCTCATCTATAAGATGAGAACTAGTTAGTTTCTAAGAAACAAGACAAAAATCATAGTAGAACATTACCTGCAATCACCAAATGAAAACTGATTACATAAAAAAAACTAATTGTATAGCAGAACATTTTTTAAAAAATTAAAATCTTAAGAATAACACAGTCTTAGAAATAAAAACATATCACTGTTACTGCTTAAATTACTACCTAACTTAAAAAAAAAAAATTCTGCAATCACACATAACCTTGGACCAAAACCCCCACATGGCTTTTTAGCTTCTAAAAAAAAAGACATTTTAATAAAAGAGCTTCAGGTTTTAATGATAAGGTTAGTGGAAGGAATATTAATATTAATATATACACAAAGTATGTTTTCTGTCTCAATGAGCTGAACTTTATTTGGCTCTTAACTCTATAGGAACATTCAGATCAAAAAAAGACACTAAAGCATTTGTTCATATCCAGCAAATACAGCATTTCGATAGAGATGATCCTGAAATGAAAAGGAAATGAATCAATACACATTTCCAGCTTCCTAATGTGGAGAAATAAAGTCACCTATTGAAGCCAATTCACTAGAGAAAACCCAAGTCATTGACTGCAGTAGCAGCAGCTCCACTCCATTCCCTTCTAACTAGGATATCATAATAAGAATCAGTCTCCCACAGGGCCCCTTCCAACAGAATTCATATGTCTATAATGAATTCTTTTATTCTTTTTTTTTTTTTTTTGGTGTGTGTACTTTGGTAAAAATATTGATATTTCAATTTTTTCTCTGTGAGACTCTATTAACTTTACTGCTCAATTGTCTTTTCTTTTTAATTGAACATGTGTTTATTGGGTATTAAAAAATTTAATTTGTGGCCTTTTAGCCCAGGATTAATAATAACCAAATAATACATAAAAATAAGTTTTGTACATAAAGTAAACATTATAACTTGCTAAGTGAGATGTAAAGGGGAAAATGTTTTTCTAAGATTAAAGCAAATAGGGATCTGGAAGCCAGGTGGACAGATAATTGAAGAAAATGGGACCAGTAATCAGAAGAGAGTGGAGAGCATAATCTTAAATGTGAAGACGGTTTGCCATGAAGGCTTTTGTATGCTCCCTGATGGTCCTGGAGCAGTGGATGGGCATGGGCTGCTCATTTACTTTGGTTAGAATTCAGTGTATATAATGAGCATTTATTTCAAAAATGTTTGTTAAATTTGTCATAAAATATACTTATATCATTCAACATTATCCATTTTATGAATTGTTAATTTAACTATACATTTAAAAAGCACTCAAACAATTCACCATTAAGAAATTTATCATTCCTCCAATGTATAGTTTTTGTTAATTCTTTATTACACTGGATGAATATTTTATATTTTCAACAGACTTATTTTCAGTTAAGTCTTTGGTGTATATGTCAAGAGCCTCCCTTTGCAAAAACGTTTCATTTAAAACTAAATAAAGAGCTCCATATATTCAAGCTGTGGCTTCCACTAAAGGTGCAACAGAAAGAAACTAATTAAATTGTTCTACCCCAAGCTTTGCTTCTTAATAAGCAGCTGCTTTCTTAATCAGTCATGCCAAATCAAGGACTAATCCAGAGATCTTCACAAATTTCCTCAGAAAACTCGGGGAAAGACTTCTGGTAGAAAGTCCCTGTTCATTCACTTTAGGGGCCCGAATCAGGTAAGAAAATGGTTAAAATGAATAAAACCAAATGATGCTCATTATGAACATAGATTAAGGACCTTTGAGAGTTTGGTGATTATTAGGTACAGGAATATACAGAGAGGAGAAGCATTAGACTTAGTTCATATACTTCTATAAGGACCCGGCAGAAGGCTGGGATACTAGCTATTCTAAAAAGCAGCTGAAACAGATATGGGAAATATTTCTGTCACAATTTACAAGAGTCTAGACATGAACCTACAGTATAAGTAGCTCATCTTGACTCACAGGAATTTGTGGACACCAAAGAAACTTCCAGAGACCTGTTGAATACAACGATGTTTATATTTTCCCCCCAAGATGGCTTACATAAAATTTAACTAAAGCTGGTTTCTTAGTAGGGAAGAATATAAAAGGTTTGAGCCATCGGCTATGAGAGCCCTTCTCTTCCAGCAGGACTCTCAGAGGAAGGACCCCCAGGAACAGCACAGCCAAGGCTGATCCAGTCTTTAGCAAACAGTTCGCCCAACATCTGTCACTTGTCTACCACATGCTAGGCCCTGTGCTGGTGTTAGGAATACAAAATGGGTGATACAGGCCAGTAGGAAAGCATAGAAATCGATCCTCCCCATGTAAGGTAGTAAGTTTGGGGTGCTCAGGAAACACTCCCTAATTTTCAGGGAATAAATATCTAGCAGAGATGACAAATAAACAATGAGGAGATATCCAAAGGTATTCAAGGTGAACCAAGAGGGTATCTTCTCTTCTATTAAAATCCTAACAAACACTTTGAGTCTGAAGCCCAAAAGACTCAGTTCCACCAGATGAGTTTTGAACTACTGACCTCCTCTCCCCAACACACCACTACTCTTATTTCCCCATTTGTTATTCCCTTGTAAGTACAGGGATTTCTTAGGAAATACATTGAGATCACCAATGCCACTCCATGTCGCAAACAACCCCACTCCTTCACATTCTGACATGACTCCCAGATGAGAACTGCTACTGTAGTGTTTATTTTTTTATTTTTGTTCCTTTTTGTCTTTTTTCGTGTCCGGCAACGGATCGCAACCCTCAGTGTCGCACCCGTACCGGACCAGGACCAGCAATGGGATCGCAACCCTCGGTGTTGCGGCCGCACCTCGCTCAGCCAGTGAGCGGGAACCGGTCTGTATGTGGGATCCGAACCCTCGGCGGGAGCGCCGCCGTGCTCCCAAGCGGCGCACTGTAGCAGTGCGCCACCGGGCCGGCCCTACTGTAGTGTTTAGCAGTAAAAACCCTTAAAAAGAGAAGGAAAGATCTGTGTGTTTGTCTTTAAGGGCAACAAGGAAGATGGGCACTGGGAAGAACACCCCACTCATGCTTAGCATTCCTTTTTCCATCCCTTCTGAGCTCTCTTTCCTATTTCCAACATTGATTCCAAATACGCACTACTCTCAAACCTCTAGTTCTCCTTCTTATAATAGATGAGGTTTCTTCCCATTTCACCAAGAAAATGAAGGCTATCAGGTATGAACTCCCTCAACTTGGCAATGTTTACTACCCGCCCCCCCCCAGTGCATCCTGTTCTGTACACACTACAGGCTCTGCCTGGCTATGCACCCCACACTTTCAACACCGCTTATGTTATGTGCAACTAGACCCCACCACACCCCAGCACACCAGTCCTGGATGGTCAGCTACCTTCTGGATGGCTCCATGTGGGCATTCTGGAAGCCCTACAGGCTCTACCTGGCCCAAGCTGAACTTAACCTCAGTTGCATATCTCAGTGAATGACACTGCCATCCACATTCCCCATCTTCCAACCTAGAACAATTCAGTCATCCTTGACTTCTTCCTATCCCTTACTCCCACAAATAACTGACTGACAAATCCTGGTAGATTGGAGAATATCAAATGAAGGATAACTTGATTCTAGCTGTATTGGTCTGTTTTCCACTGCTTATAACATTATACCTGAAACTGAGTAATGTGTAAAGAAAAGAGGTTTATTTCTTACAAGTTTGGAGGCTGAGAAGTCAAAAGTCCAGGGGGCACTTCTAGTTAGGGCTTTCTTCCTGATGGAGGCTCTGTACAGAGACCCTTGGAAAAGCAGGGTATCACATGATGAGAATGGCAAGAGCTGATAAACATGCTCACTTGGTTCTGCTTATAAAGCCATGAGTGCCACTCCCATGGTAACCCACTAAACTATTAACCCATTAAACCATGAATGGATTAATCTACTCACAAGGGCATAGTTCTGATGATCCATTCACCTCTTAAAGGCCCCACCTTTCAAATACAATATTGGGAATTAAGCCCCAACCCCAACATGAGCTTGCAGAGACATGCAGACCATAGCACCAGCAAAGTTCTGAAAGTTTCTCATGATAGCCTTATGAATAATACGAAGAAGTGTGGCTAGATAACAAAATTAAGTAAATCCAGAACTAGCTGAAAAACTCAAAGCAGTGTGTAGATCAATAATGTGAAGTAAACCTGAGAAATATATCCTGGTATTTTGAAAGGTTTTTCTCTTCTCAGTCCTGTTTCAGTTAATATTTTTACAAATATTTGTATGCTTACTTAACTGGCATATAACACAGAGCTGGGAAAGATAGCTAACATATTGGGTTAACAGAATTAGGTTTTGAAATTATCTTCATTAGC